TCAAGAGTATCATCACATGGTCTGAAATGGGGTAACAAACCGCCCAGTCAAAAGAGGTCTATTGCTATCTAAAACATGTTAGTCTAAGTCTGTTGTTTTGATCCAACAGCTGCACCAGTGATTAGTGGCATTCTTGGTGAGCCGACAGTAAATGACAGTGATTTAGTGAATCTTACCTGTAAAGCTGATGGTAGACCAAGACCAAACATCACCTGGACAAGAGTTTCTGACAACAGCTCTGTTACCATCCCTTTCAATATTAGTGGTAAACAGGATGAAGGACTGTACAGATGTACTGCTGACAATGGCATTGGTAATCCAACGAGCAGCAATGTCTTTATTACTGTTCGATGTGAGTTCGATTAATTTGTTGAAATGTAAATGTTTATGACAGTAATTAGCACATGTACTATCAATAGTAAATTCCAGAACACTGCAGAAGTTAGTATGTTATTGTACATCTGCAAAGTCCAAAATTAACTCCAAATTTGTTTCCGGATCCACTTTATTATGAAGTTTGAGGACTTTTCATAATTATTATAGTGAAGACGATAAAGAAATGGAGTAAATATTGATGGACAAATATCTAGCATTAAAAATATTTTAAAAGTTAAGTTTTTCAAATTATGATTTGCAAAATGCTGCATAAGAGACTCGTCTAAAAGTATTAGAGGGAGGGGAGAAGGCTGAAGCAGAGAAGGGGTGGGTCATCAGTTTTTGAGCCCTTAGTAAGGGGTGGGTCGTTCGATTTTCATCTACCCATGGGGGTGCCTCATGCATTTATACAAAAGAGGAACTATGTTAGGTCTAACCCAAATCATTTTAACTTCGTAAAAGCCAAAATCTTATCGCAAAAACAAATTCGTCAAAACAAGCCTTTAAACACGATTGTCACAGCAACATCAAGTCATGTGCTCAAAAAAAATGACACTCCAAAATTGTTTCTCACAAATTATTTCTCAAAGTCACACATTTTCATCATCCATGCTTCACAGATCAGTCTGAAATGAGCGCGGGCAGTCTGTAACGTCCCCTAACTCGCTAAATAGGATTAAGCCGGACCAATTCAGACCTAAACATTTCATCTCATTCTGTATCTGTTTTAACAGAGGAAGGTTCCTAAGATTGAAACTGGTATACAGTGAAACCTGTATCAAGCGGTCACCCTTGGGACTCTCACTAGTGTCCGCTTAATACAGGGTGTCTGCTCTAAGCAGGTTCTAATATATATTAACCGAGCAGGAAGTCTTTATGGGAGAATCTTGACCGATCGAGGTCAAGATTCTCCCATGCAGACCGACTAAGCTCAGTTTATAAGATGCTTATTTATATATTAGATGAGTCGAACTTAATTTTGCCAAAGTTTGCTCGTCGGAAAGTCATTGTTGACATCAAGACCGCTGCTCAAGACCGCTGCTCCATTGTTGTTCGCCAACAAAAGTACGGCATGCCACTTGGGGCAATAGCTGTCGTCTCTGATACACTGTTCTCAGAGCTGTATGTAATGCGAGTCCTTTCTTTCTATTTTTCGCAATTAATTTCCAAAGTAAGGGCCAACGAGCACTGCAATTCGGCACTTCACCGATAGCAAGTCCTAGCAGTAACTAGCCCCGTATCGAGTGAATAGCACCGGGACACGTGCTTATTCCCGTCTGTTAATGAAGTGCAACTTGTGAAATAGGATCGACGCAGGTTCGATTTTTGTTACCACGCTGGAATTAAGTCGACTCTTTGTCGCACCTATTTCTAATTTATTCGACGCGACTTGGATTCGACGTTTGCCCTAGGCCTAAGTTGGTCTCGATTGTAATAAGTTATTATTCGCATGAAGAGTATTACTGTATAAGAACACACCACTTGTAACACAGGTAATGAAACTGTTTATTTAGTTATCCATCAGTGCTCAAGATGCTGATAAATAAACTCATTCTGTTTTCTATATTTTTGTTATTTCCGAGCTAAGGGTGAAGGGAAAGTAAATCTTTTGAGATTATTCAAGATTTCACCTAAAACACATCTGTAACATTACCTTGTAAAATGATCTTTAAGCCTACGATTGCAACTGTTTTCAATTTGTAATGAAGAAATTGTAGAAATCGAGACAAAAATTCATGTTGTGACCATCCCAAAATGTGCCCCAAGCATCTGGACGTCGCGTGCATTGAGATATTATTTATTCCAAACGTTTAAGTGCACATCGTCTTGGACGCGGTAAAAAGTGTCTTCAAAGTGCAGGCTGTGATTGTTTTATCTATGGTATTAATACAATTTAATGTGACAGTCTACCATTCAAACTTGAGCCTCCTTCACTCAGTCTAACAGCCGTACAGCTCTACCCTCATAGCTACACGATCGCTCCAGGTCTGTGGCCAGATTTTAATGAAGCGCGCCCGAATGTGCTGTGGAAACACATGCGAGACAACTGTCTCTTTATCGGTGTTTCCTTGAAATACCTGAAACATTAACGTAAATGAGTGCTACTGAGTTTATGAGCAACATTTTCCATCTCGAAAACGTTTAATATGAAATTCGTTACCATGACGTGTGTCGGGCCACACCTGAATAAACATTATTTAGCCTTCCAAAACGAAACAGAGTTCAAGGTATAACTTGTCATGAAGGAATGTTTTGTTCACATGCAACCATGTTTTGAATGATCGCCATTGTTTGACCTAAAGTTGTTGAATTTTAAGCTTCATTTTCTGTTTTAGTTTGAGTTTGGATTTTATAATGATTTTATCTAAAAACATCTCATTATATTTTCATATTTTTCTGCTTTTTCGAATCGCTTTTAGGAGTTTTCTGACTTATTCAAATCCGAGATGGCGGATATTTTAAGTGCGTGACGTCATGAAAGGGTTAAGTTTCGAAGCCAACTATTTTCTTGAGAGTTGGAAAGTAAATTGCGACAACTTGTTTTAAGTTGAATTTATTGGGCTATGATAAACTGAGTTCCACCATTAAATATCTACAAACTTACTTTCACAGCATTGTCCTCCATATACTTAAGCCAGTCAGTCCCGTCTACACTGGATGAAATCTTGTAAGACGTCACCCACTGTCTGTGACTAGCAATCGGCCTTCCCTGAGTAGCTATCTTTTTTACTGCCATGACTCGACCAAGATCAACATGGAGCCAGTGCGGACCTTCATGGTAACCCATAGTCCATGCAGATGGCGAGTTGAGCCGAGCGAAATTAGGACCGAGTCCGGAATTATAAGAAGACGAGGCTGTGATAGCACTGGCTGGAATCTTTCCATTTTCCATTCCCAGACTCCTGTAGCAAGCTGAAGAAATAACGGGAAAAGGCTCAGAGATAGTTCATCTAAATAATAAGAAACAATTAAATAAACTTTGCGATTGTGAGAAATCATTCAACTCGTATATTTACGTCGCAAAGAATTGTAGACCCTTTGCGACTGAAAACATTCTGCTATTGGCATTCGCTGTTGACGTAGGTCAATTGAACAACGCTTTGCTCGTGTTAAAAGATATCAATAAATGTAGCAATAAGTCTAAGTAAAGAAGATTATGTTATAGTATAACTGACTGAATTAAAACATTCAATCATTTTGGATCAGACATTCTCAGCTTTGATTTCACGGAAGAGAGATACACAGCTGTTATAGCTTTGTTTATTTATGTTTATTTTTAAAACACATAATTTACAACACTACCTAACAGAATCCTTGCAATAATAAGATAACTTACGATAAAAATATTACCTACAATAGTAACGTTACTTACAATAGCGAAATGGCTTACAAAACCCCAACATTGCTTGCAATACTTATAATTACTCTTCTCAAATACTAACATAGCTTAACAATTAAGACGAAATCCGATAGAAAATCGAGCAATTTTAGTTGATAGCGGACAAAAACGTGGTACCAGAATGTTTCGAGGTATTTTACAGTCCTTTTACAATTTCTTAAGGCTAAAGATATCAACAGTTGCCTAAAATAACACCAAAAACAATTTCCCATGGGAACTCGAGAAAATAAATTTCACAGTTCAGAGAAACTGTACAAACACAGGTAAAACGTCATCACTGGGAGCCTGTTCGCAGGCTACAAATATATATAGCTATAAAAGCAAACGTAAAAAGTGGTTTTTAACTGAGTGTCGTAAATCGAAACCGAAGAAATCACGCTGACCAATCACGAAGGACGCAAACGACCCAGAGAACCAATCAAAACCGAAGCCACACATGTAGCTGACGCGAAGCGCGGGAAAATGCAAACGATGGACCCGCGATTGGTTTTAAGTTTAACATTTGATTGGATGACAAAGTGGCACGAGCTTTTTTTAAAAACCAATCTCTGAACGCGTAATGATACAAAACCCAAGAAAATGCGAACTACTGAAAATCGACTCTAAGTTAGTAGTTTCATTATACCTTCACATCTGTTTCCGCCCTGTTTAATTTGGCAGATGTCTGTCTGTCTTCCACATTCAGAGTCAAAGCCATTACAAGGGAGGAGTCGGACGCTGTTGGTCATGTAGATTGCCCATTCATAATCCACCAAGTCCTCTGGG